TGGTCAACGAGAGCGCGGAGCGGGCGGCCTGCGCGGCCGTCAGGTGGGCCTCCCAGCTTGCTCCCCGCGCGGCCTCTCTCCCTCCTGGGCTCGCTCTCCATCTTGACTCCAGCAGTTCGCCTCCTTGGTGCCTCTCCAGCTGGGGGGCCGTAGCAGCCGAGGTCGAGCCACCCCAGCAACCTAGTGGGTCGGAGTAAACCTGCGCACCCCATGATCGGCCTCGGGGGCACGAAGGGCAGATTCGGATTTTTCGGTTCCTGCGTCCACATTTATTGATCACCTAGTATGTGAAAGACGAGGCTGTGAGGAGAGGACCGCAGCGGGCCAAGACAAAGCGAGGGCCTGTTCTCCAGGAGCTTCCGCCTCCCTGGACCACCGTCGACCTGCCCCGAGGTTCCAGCCCCCGCGCTCAGAGCAGGAGAGGATGCTCACCCCGGGGAGGCCTTGGTGCACGGAGGGGAGGCACAGGTTTCCTCGCGATCCGAAGCTTCTGGCAAATCCTTGCTACCTGAACACAGTTTATTTTCAAAGCTTTTGCAAATGTTAGACGGTTTAGCTTGGTTAAGGTCGTCTTTGCACTGAATTCTCCTGTCCTGCCCCTTCCAAAAACACGAACACACAAAATGAATTTTCTATAGATTTTTGGTGAGAAAAGAGGTTTTCTTCCTTTCTTCATCTTTTAAAACATTTCCCCCTATCTCTTCCCAAATAAAGATCCAGAAACCCGGGTCAGTTACTCAGTGTACAGCCAGTCAAATGCTGAGGAAGTTAGTAGATATTTGCCAAAGATCGGGCATGTTCTGGGTGGTCTCAGATTTTGAAGAAATTAATTCTTCCTGCACAAAATAGTTTTACAATCAGTTCCATCAGATAGCCCCAGGGCTCTCCTAGGGAAAGGGGCCAATAGGCAAGGTTGCATGGGAATAGGAGAGGCAAGCGACCAGTAGAAAACGTTTGTTTTTTGGGTTTTTTTTTCTAACAGTTGGCATTTCTGTGGCTCTGAAAGCAAACTTGTTTGTTTCATTTCAATGACAGAAAAAAAAAAAAAAAAAACCCTCCTGTTTTGGAAATGTTACCCAGCAATAAAAATACATTTGTAATGGAGTGGAAGACAAGGCAGTTTAAGAGCCACCCAAAAGAAAATATTTTCCCCCTGAAATTTTTTTTTTATTTGGTATTTCCCAGTATGGGTTTGCCTCGTTTTTCAAAGCTGTCTATGTCAAGTCGTGTGAATGTAATTTAAATATTTAACTTTGAATCCATTTTTACATATTCTGGGAAACTGACAAAGGAATCCTACAGAGAATTGTTTTTATAAAGTAAATAACTGCTTCCCTACCTCCCCTCTTTTCTTCTTTTGTGTGTGTGTGTGTTTGGGGGAGGTTAGGGGATAAATCTGGTTTGGCTTAAAAATGCAGCCTTTCAAATCCAAATCAGAGTTTAGGTAAAAACATTCTATAAAATGTATTATTTCCTCTAGAAGTTGCTAGAGCAGTTGTGTAGATCTATCTGATTCAGGGGGAAAAATTCAGCAACCTCACCCAGGTCCTGCTATTCCTACAAGACCACATTTGAAAGACTGAAGAGGTAAGAATATAACCATTTTATTGCAGATGGGGGGGGTAGTGTTTTACGTTTTAGTGCACTTTCATGTGAGATAATTTTTAATTTGAAGTTGTAGGCTTTTGGAGCACTCTGGTTTGTATGGTTGCACGGAACTATCTTTGACTTTAGGTATATTTACTTCTTCTTGGTATCAGACCTAGTGTGGTGGAAGAACAAACCTGTGTTTTGTGTTTTCCTTTACTCACTCTGTACTTATTAAGCACCTGCCAACCATGTGCGAGGTATCTAGGTGCTATAGATGTTGTATTTCAGGTTCATCTCCCCTGTTTTCTTTTTCTGGGTCACTTTGCATCTTTATAGCTGGGCTTCGTAAAAGACTAATAATAATCCGCTTCATCTGTATAGTGCTTTACAGCTTACAGAGCACTCTTACAAAAATTATCTCATGTGATCCTCCCGCATAAACCTCAGTTAAGCACTGTGGTGCAGGAGGCATCGTGGCTGAGTAGAAAGAACCTGGATCATGAATACAGATCAACCTGGGTACCCATTTTACAGCTGAGGACACTGAACCTCTGAGTTGTTGAATAACTGTTCAAGGTTATGAAGTCATTAACTAGTAAGCCAGTGCTCCTTTTACAGGTTTCTGGACTATACACATATAAAGCATGCTTCCAAGACTCACAGAAAACTTACAACCCCAGAACCCAATAGTATTCTGGTTCCCCCAATAGTATTCTGGTTCCCCCAAAGGAAGTGAAGATGAGAATCTTTCAGTTCTCTGTGAATTATTAATAATTAGATGATATCACAAGTGTTTAATTTGTTCACAATTCCTGTGGGAATGAGGAAATTATTATCCAAAATCAGAAGTGAGAAATGCTTGGACCAAGGATAGATTCCATTTGATTTTACCTTGTATGAACTTCAGAATTATATTTCTCTGATTATTGCTGATATCCAGAGAATAACTCTCACCCCACCCTCAGTCAACAATTCCCTTTGCCCCCCCATAACAGTTCAGCTTATTTTTAATTTCAAATGTAGGCAAATAAAATGTTTTATATACACTCTAAAAGGAACAACAGCAAAGCCTACATTAAGTTGCTTTTTTTACTACATGTAGTTCCTAGTTCTAGAGTAATTCATAGTATAAATAAGATTTCCCAGCTCTGAGGTACAGAATGTGGGCTCTGATTAGGTGAACAGTTTTCCTATTTGTTCCCCTTTCTACCTTAATTAAATATGAAATAACTTTAATTATTGTAATTAAATATGTATGTATTGGCAGTCTACTATGTTTAATATATTTATTTAGACTTGAATGAAGATTCACATATAAGAGTCTTATCTTGAAACTTCTGGAATGTTTTCTCAAAACAATTCACATTAGAATCAGCTGGGTTGCTTGTTAAAAATTCAATTATCCATCTTCTACCAAGCAGACTCTTCTGCAATTTGCATTAATAGCCACTCCCCAGGTGATTTTTCTGTGTACAAAGTATTGGTCTTATACAGGACCTTCATTTGCCAATTAATTCTGCTAGGAGCTTACTTTCTTAGAGTCCAGATATCTCACATGTTTCTGAATTCAACTTTTCTTTATGTTTACTAGTTTTTTGTATTTCTAACAAAGGAAAAAAATATGAAAATTACTATTTCTTATGAACACTACTTTCACAGGAAGAAAATAGGTTAAAATGTGTGCTTCATGAGCTAAATGAAACTAAACTAAATATCAAGTGAATTAGGCATTTTAGAGAGAATAGTAGATCACTAGAAATTGTAAGTTCCTGCATAAGTCTACTATAAAATTGATAGTTTATAATCCAATTTAGTGGTGAATATGATTTAGAAGAATGTCTGGATTAGGCTTAGAGATGACTTCTTGTTTTTGGATAAATATCTGTCATTAATGAGGGAAGGTGCTGATTAGTTCTTGTCCCTAAAAGACAAGCCCCCTATTCAGCATTTACCTAACTGATACTGTGTGTTCATCTCCCAGACCTACCAAAGCAGTGGTTCTCAAATGTTATTGTGCATAAGAATTTCCTGAGATGCTTTCAAAAATGCAGATTCGTGGGTCCTATTCCTAGAATTTCTGAATTGATAAGTCTGAGATAGAGCTTGGGAAACTTCATTTTAGTGTTCACACCTTCTTCCCCAAGTGATTACTCATATACTTTGGGAAACACATCATTGGGCTGTAAACTCCTTTGAGTTGAGAGAGTGGTCTTATCAATTTCTGTATATTCCAAAAGGTCAAGCATGGCCCACTGTCCACAGGTCGGTCATCCATTTTGAAATTTTTAACTAAATTCCCCTGTCTACAGGGCCTAAGGGCTAAATCAGACAGTATATCAATGCTCTTCCCACTGCTGAGACTTTTTTATTTTTCTAATAGAAATTTTGTTACTTTATGATTCTAGAAGATGTTTAAGATTAGGTG